ACACACACACACACACACACACACACACACACACACACACACACCTGGAGGCTGCTGTCGTCTCCCCGCGCCCAGCTCACTCCACCACGCCCCTCCGGGTCCCTTTCATCCATCCTCCAACTGCCCCAGCCTCGTCAGGTACGTGTCCTGCTCTAATCTTGAGAGACAAGGGTATTAACTCCAGGCGGCTTGTCGTGAGCCGACACCATGACCGCGGGGGGCTCCGAGGAGACACCTCGGAGGGAAACCTGCGGAGCGCCCCTTGCAGGTCCCTGCGCTGAAGGCGGGCTGCTTCCCGCCTGCGAAGGGTGCTGTCAGCCGAGGCTCCGAGGCTCAGGCACATCCTCCTCTGAAAGGATTTGGCCAAACAAGACCTGAGAGAAAGGAACAGGGCTGCCGCTTCTTCAGCAGCGCGGTCTCCAAAAAAGAGATTACCATGACATCCTGGGGCCAGGGCAACAGCGCTGTGTGCCCCTTGGTTCCCTGCAGCCTAACCTCTCTGAACATTCCCTGGGGGTCGGGGGTGGGGTGGGGGCAGTAATAGATTGGTGAAGTGAAAAAGTGGAGGATGCGAGAGTCAAAGGAAACCCTAATGTTCTGTTCTAAATGTGCTGCTCTCTCCCCCATCCTCAAAGCTCCGCAAACATGGAGCTCAAGCTGTTTCCCCATGGTCAGGTTTCTCTTTGACTCTAGTAACTTACCATGAAAACATGATCCAGGGAAGTGCCCCAGTCGAAATTGTTTTTGCGTGGCAAAAGAATGCTTAAGTGCAGCTTAGCCTCACCCTAAACTCCAAAATGGTATGCCTGTGTGAAAACACTTCTTACGCAAAACAAATGAGTGGCTGAGGCACTCCACTCTATATGTAGGTTTTCATATCCTTAAGATTTTGACAGTATTTGAAAATAGAGTTACTAATGCACGTTAAAAAAAGCTATCCAAGTTATAAAACCATAATCTGTGTCTGTTATGTAATGATTGTATTTTATATTTGAATTTTCATTTAACCTTTAAAAATATGAATGAGTTTTGGAAGACTTTCACAATTTGAAAACGAAAGCAATTGTTGAAATTAATCTGAAATAATCTAGCACTTCACACAGTGCCTGACACATAGAAGGAAAAGTTTAATAGTGATGATGGTTTTAAAACAATTGTTTTACATCACCGTGGAAAGTCTCCTACATAATCTGTAGTCATTTTATATAGTTTAAACGTACTTGCATACACTAAAGTTCAAAATCTGCTCAAGACAAATTCCTTAGTGATATAGCCTTTATCCAAGATTGATACAAAGTACACTGTTTCAGTGAGTGATGATCAGCATCATTGGAAGGTTTTTTAAATGCTATGCGAAGACTTTCTAAAGTGTACTACTAATATTTCTGTTTCCTTAAAGCACTTTATTAAACTTCATTTGGTATTTTTTCGATTCTCTAAGGTCAAATAAAATTGTAGTTGGTTGCAGCATATTCCACAAATATATCTAGTAGTTATGCTGTATCAAGTATCTTCCCAGCTGCTAGGGATGTCCTCAGAAGCTAAAGCGGTATAAAAGCTTCACTTGCTGCATGAAAGGACTGCAGAATGCTCACTACTATCTTATTCTTGTGTAGTTGGTCTCTTTCCCCTTCACTCACTCCACAATCTGTCCAGACTTCTTTTCTCTCTGTTGGCAGCATTTCTGCCTTTGCCATTCCCGTCCTCTTTGATTGGCACCACCTAGGGGGTGCACTCTGGGAATTCAGATAGCCTTGCTGTCACAGTCCTATCTCTAATCAAAAGAAACAGGCTCTGTGTAAGGCCTAAGTGCTCACCACTGAGCAGGGCACATTCACCCATAGTGTATAGGACAGATAGACTTTTGGATACCTCAAATGTTTCTTTTGAAAACATTCTTTTTGTTTCTAACTGAGGCTGTGAGATAAACAACTTCTTAATAAGCAAGGCTACAAAATTAACCCAATAAGCCAAGTCCAGGTCCCTCTCTCCAACACTGCGTCAAAATGTCCGCTGCCATATGTTAGATAACTTAACAAAGTGGAGAGCACGGACTTCTGCTTTCCTGTTATAAGGCTGTGTGACCCCAACAGAAATCCAATCACTGAAAGCCTGAACTCCGCCTGATAATTCGTTAATGTTAAATAAATCGCAAACCTTTGTGGAATTCATTTTTACTCAATCATGCTAATTGTGTTGAATGATTTTGTTGTTGTTCTTTCTTTTGTTTAAAATCAATAACTAAATTCCCGGGCTAAGAGAGTCATTGTAGGAACACATTGTGGGAATACATGTGGTATAATAAGAATGCCTGCTCAGTAATTTGTATTTTGAAGCCAACTCCTATTTTAACAAATTGTAAAGTACGGGGAAATACTTCTTAGCAATTTCATTGGATTTTTTTTTTCTTCCTTTAAGCACCAGGTTACTGTGGGGCCAGCTACTTAGAGTACAGGTTTAATATACCTACCCACCACAAAGTAGTCTGGGTAAGCACATCTGAGGCTGCCTAAATCTCTCTTATTCTGGCACATTTCACACCATTCTGTGATAGGTGTTTCTTTGCCTATATCCAGCTCTAGAATGCAAGCAGTAAATGTAGAAAGTTCATATCCCTACCATTCACATTTGATAGATCGATCCACCACCTCACTCTGTTCTATAAACAGAAGACATTCAGTCGATTCAGGGACAGATACTGTCATAACCCAGAGGGTAGAGGTTTATTTCTACTGGGTGTAGGGGAGAGAGATCAAAGAAACTTTTATAGAGAAGAAAGATTCGAACTGGTCAAGAGTAGAAAAGTTTGAAGAAAACAAAAATACTTCTTGAGGATTCTTAAAATTTTGCTGTACATCAGAGTGAACCATGATACTTTGGGATGACATTGTATCTACATCTTTATCTGGATGTCTGTGGAGCTCCAGTGTATTTACAGTATCAATTATAGCCCATTAACCTCTAGAGCTGCCTAATTAAAATAAAATAAAATATGGAGCTCATTGTTGTGATTGGAAATGTTCTTGTAGCCACATTGTAAAATGTAAAAAGAGACAAGGTAACTTTCACAACATACTTTAACCCAAAGTATCAAAAATATTATCATTCCATTGCATAATAAGCATAATGTTTTTAATTGGGTATTTTAGGTTATTTTTTTCATACTAAGTCACTAAAGCCCGGTGTGCATTCTGTACATGTGCTGTATCTCAAGTTGGACTAGCTGTATTCCTTGCTCAGCAGTCATATAAGGCTTGCAGCCAACATACTAGACAAGAACTCGTGAAATTTTTAACTGGGTACAGCCAAAAGACATTTTCTCTTGTTGCTAAATCTTAGATTTTATTTTTTGATTTATTTGTGTTAATTATAAGACCACTTCCTTGGGTCTAGGCTTTTATACCAACTAGAGCAGCAGCAACGTTGACATTGTATGCACTGTGTCTTCATTCGTTGTAACCATACTGTAGTTAAAACTACCACTAGCTCTATTATCTCTGGTCATAGACTGTAAGTGGAAATAAAACACTATACATTTTGGGTTGAGTAAGCTTAAAAGAATAAAAGGTCTTCCCTGAAACACAAACCTACATCTGTGCTAATCATGTAGTCACTGAGAAGCATCTCCCTCGCTGTAGAAGTTGAGGGTTTGTACTAACTATTCATAATTCATTGCTTGTGGAGTCCAAAATTTCCCTAGCCTATGTTTGAGGCAGCCACCTCTCTGGAGCTGCAGCAATTAGGATACGCTGCAGCTTTCTGAATAGTGAGGAAGGGCGAACATGGGGAAATGAAGATGGTTAGAGCTTCTGCCTGCAAGTGACTGTGCAGCTTTCCTCTAAGGAGATCGTAGCCTTTGACTGGCACCGAAGTGCTAGAGCACTACATTTCTACACAGAAGTGAGTCCTGAAAACTAGGGGTAGACCTTTATTATAGATATCTGAAAACAGTGGTGTCTAAGCAGTTGAAAGGACACAGTGAAATGCAAATACAATTGGTGTCTCTTTATATCCCAAACAAGAAAACATCTAATACACCTATGGGGTCCCAAAAGGCACGTTGCCAAGCACCCAGGTTGCTTCCATTCTGTTATCACGAGCTCTTGATTTTAATCTTCAAGGTTGCCTCGTGATCTTCATTGGATGCTCAAGCCCCGTTATCCAGGCTGCTTCCGATGCAGGAAGAATGTGGAGTGGTCCTTTACTCTCTCTTGAAGAGCTTTCCCCGAGGGACCACCCACAACTGCTGTAGCTATCTCAATGAGGGAGTGTGCTGAAGCACAATAGTTAAGAACAATGTTCGAATAAAGTCAGGGTTTTGTTTCTGAGAATGAAGAGAAGAACTGATATTGAGGGGGTGAACTAGTTATCTAATGCACTGTAATAAATCCCTTCAAAATCGTGGGCCGTAAAACAGCAGACATTATCTCACAGTATCTAAGGAACAGGAATTCAGGAACTACTTAGCTGGATGATTCTGACATACTGTCTCTAATGTTTTTGCAATTAAGGTGTTTGCAGGGACTACATTCATCTGAAGGCTCTAATTTAAAGAATGTTCCCTTGAATAACTATTGGCAAGAAGCCTCAGTTTTTCTCTGTTTCTTGGTTGGAGCCTTAAGTCCTTACCACATTGGCATCTCCACAGGCTCTTGAGCATCCTTATGATATGATGGCTAACACCCTCCCCACCACCTCGCAGAGCAAATTATCCAAGAGAGCAATGATTAAGTTGCAATGTTCTTCATGGCCTTGTCTTATAATTAACACCATGATTTCTACTTTATTCATAAGAAGTGAGGCACTATTTGTATTCTACTCTCAAACCAATACTCACTTTGATGGAGGAATATCAAATAATGTATGGGCATATTTTAAAACCACTACAGTAGGCAATTTTTAAAACCACTACAGAATGCATTTTCATTCATGGTCCATCTCTTTGGTTTCTCAAACAAACCTGCACACCCTTGTCTTTACACATGGATGAGACTCACGGACTCCTTAAAAGAACAAGGCCTAAGCTTCTTCCAATGATTGCATCTGATATAATGCCCAGTCTCTAAGTCAGTGGTTCTCAACCTTCTCAATATTGCGACCCTTTAATACAGTTCCTCATATGGTGGTGACCCTCAAGCATCAAATTATTTTCGTTGCTACTTCATGACTGTAATTTTGCTACTGTTAGGAATCATGATGTAAACATATGATATGCAGGATGTATTTTCTTTTTGCTTTGTTTTTTTTAAACATTTTATTAGGGGCTCATACAACTGTTATCGCAATCAATACACACATCAATTGTGTAAAGCGCATTTGTACATCATTCTCAAAACATTTTCTCTCCACTCAAACCCTCGACATTAGGTCCTCATTTTTCCCCTCCCTCCCCGCTCCCCCTCCCTCATGAGCCCTTGATAGTTTATAAATTGGCATTTTGTCATATCTTGCCCTGTCCGACATCTCCCTTCACCCACTTTTCAGTTGTCTGTCCCCCAGGGAGGAGGTCACATATAGTTCCTTGTAATCGGTTCCCTCTTTCCTACCCATTCTCCCTTTACCCTCCCTGTTTCGCCACTCACACCACTGGTCCTGTAGGGCTCATCCGCCCTGGATTCCCTGTATTTTCAGTTCCTATCTGTACCAGTGTACATCCTCTGGTACAGATCATATGAAGTAATAGACTTAGGTGGGGAGACAATACAATTCATCACCTCTTGCCAGCATTATCACTGTTGGTTTTTTAGGGAGCAAGAATCTTACCTCCTGCTAAACTTAAAAGTTTCATAGTTTACATTTTTTTTCAATTTCAGGTGGAGAAGAATGTGACCTTTTCAATACTGCGAAGCCAAAATCATTAGGTTTTCTGCCTTTGTGCTTAGCAGCTACGGTGAAAGCAAATCTTTGCTTCCTTCCACTTCCATTTCCAGATCATTTGAAGATACTCTGAGTTCATCTAACTCATATTTAGCTCAGTAGGGAAAATGGGTCACCACCTACCAACATTATGAATGTATCCTGCTATTGCCCTTACCTGAATCAGCAATAACTTGTCTTTTGAGGTAAGAAAATGACAATGTACCCAATTATTTGGTCACAAGTGAATCCCTACCACTCATGCCCATCTGCTTACACAGAATTAGTGTTCAATTATACCTTGTAACTTCCTGTTTTGGGTCCTAATTACTGCATTAACCAAAGTTCTTGGCTACGGAGAACTAATTTAAGATATATATATATGAAGGTACCAGGTAGTGTACAAAATTTTCATGGGGACCTAGAAACCAAGCCTATATGATAGTTGCGCCAGGGGAAATGCCAACCTTCAACACCAGATTGCCAAGTAGAAACGTCACCACGTACTACCATCTGCCCCTCAGAAACAATGGAAAAAGACCAGACACTAGAACCTCCATGACATCTCCATAGAAGAACTAAACCTCTTGGCCACCTTCTGTGCTAATTGTCTTATAAAGTCTGCTTCACCATGTTCCTGTCTTACATGGGTGTATCTGCTTAGGGGGAGCCAGATCACAGCTGCAACTGGGCTTGAGAAATATATGCAACTTTTCTAGCATAGAGTAAGTAACCAGGAAGAAGGAGATGGAAGCAGTGTTTGCTATGTTATTCAGAAGCATCTGCTATAGTGGTGTTAGGTTGGGTCCTCTAGAAAAGCAAAACTATATAGAAAGAAACTTACATAAAGACTATGGCTCACACAATTGTAGAGCAGGTAAGTCCACACAATTGTAGAGCAGGTTCAAGTCCATGAGCCAGTTGTTAAGCTATGGGGACTGATGAAGCAGGCAGCAGGAAGATGAGCAAGAGGGCCACAAGCTGGTGGATTCAGAGGCCCAAGGTCAGTAGGTCAGATGGCAAGCTGTTGCGACCTCCCAGGGTCAGCAGGCAATATAGTGGGAAGCTGGCTCAAGCCCAAAGAACTGAGTTTGATGAGGCAGATACAGGAACCAGATCCAGCAAGAAACCGAGACCCTCCTCCCAGCATCTTCTTCTGTAAGAAGTAGGCCACACCTCCAAGGAAAGCTCCTCAGGCCTGTGGCATCCCACCCTAACGGTCTAAGCAACTGATGGGCTGTTCACAGGAGATGGCTTTATGTGCTTGGTTACACTGAGGGACTAGGAGATCTTAACTGCCAAATCACTGAGCATCTTAGCCAAGCCAAGTTGACGCAGAATTAACTATCACAAGTAGTCAAAGGGTTATTTGTGAGTTTGAACTTTTTTCATTAATATAATTGAATTTCTGTTGGCCTAGATTTCTATTTTAAAGTCGATAGGATTTCTGTGAGTCAGAATCAGCTTAGGTTTTTGGTTTGAAACCGCATCCTAGAAGCCCGCGTGGTACAATGGTTTAAGAGTTTGGCTGCTAACACAAATTTTAACTGTTAAAACCAACTAATGTTGGAAAAAAGAAAACAAGGAGAGAAAAAAAGAACCAGTGATCCACTTCCGTAAAGAATATGACCTAGGAAACACCATGAGACATTTCTACTCACTTCACAAGCGTTTGGTGTGAGTCAGATTCAACTTGACGTTGCTCAGCAACAGCAATAGCATTCTAAGTCAAGGGGTGAGTCAATGGTCAAAATTTCATCATCCATATGGGATATCAGAGTTTCATTCCTGTTACCTCCAGCTCTGCTACCACTCATCTGCCAGTAAGAGCTTGCATCGTTCTGTGGCGCGGGTTTCAGTGGGGCTTCCAGACTGTGATAGAACACTGCCACAAAGAAAAATGAGGGATATTGAAATCAATGTGGATCACCTCTGTCCAATCGTATTGTGCATAGCGTTACCATGAGTTGGGGGGGGGGACTTGATAGTAGCTAGCAATAGCAATAGGATTTCTAACTTTTTGATACCCATTACATTACACAAATGGGTCATTGATTAGTTCTATTACCATGCTTTACTTTCCTGATAAGATGTGGCTCTTTATTCCAAGCATTCCCCTGGGGGAGATGCATGTAAGACTAAAATGCAGTATGGGGCAATAGTAAATGGTAATGCTTGCCCAAGGACAAGAATTGATAGCACAGGAGAGAAGAAAAATCTCATCTGGGGCAAAAAGTGAGTTAAAATCAAGGAAAAGGGCAAATCAAGTACCCGATAAAGAGCAAGATCCAAACATCTGCAACAACAAAAAATATTTTTAAAATCACTATAAAATGAACAAGAACTTATCCAAGAGTGGCTAGATTTGGGCAAATTATATCCAAGCTCTTGAAAAGCTGGCTAACCAATTTTAGGCAGTATTTTATTAAAAAATGTCTGGGAACTCTTCTGACTTAGGGCTGCAGTCATCAGCTTGTGGTTGTTTGGTGCTCGCTTTCAAGTTGCGTCCACCCCCCAGCAGCTCTCTGGCCAACAGGACAAAATGCTGCCTACTTCCATTTCATCGCACAATTGTTGTGATGCTTGAGTTCCTTCTTCAGCTTGTGTGTCCATCCATCTCATTGAAAATCGCCTTTTTTCCACTGCCCTTCTTTACTAAGCATGATAACTTTTTCTAGGGTCATAACCAGTATAAACCAAAACTCAAACCCAAACTCACTGTCATCGAGTCAATTTTAACTCATAGGACGGGGTACAATTGCCCCTGGGAATTTCTTAGACTGTACTCTTTACAGCAGTAGAAAGCCTCATTTTTCTCCTGTGGAGCAGCTGGTAGGTTTGAACTGCTGACCTTTCAGTTAGCAGCCCAACGAATAACCTCTACTCCATCAGGGCATATGTATAGGGACAAGTAGAAATCATAATATGTTGGAGTTACGGGGGAAAAAAGCATTTTCTCTTTGATAGGGCAGCTTTGAATGTAAGGAAGTGACCTATACTGTATCAGATAACTTAAGAGAAGAGGGACTTCTAAGGAATAAAGTTGTAGTTCCTCTCAAGTACACTTCAATTCACAAGACCCAGGTATGCAAAGTAGAACTGCTTCATAGGATGCTCAAGGTTATGACCTCTTGAAGCAAATGACGGAGGAGCCAGTGGGGGAAGTTTCAACCATCTGCCCAGTAATCAAGCACTTAACCTTTTGCACCAGTCAGATATTTCTAAAGTTTAAAACTAACAAAATCTTAGGAAGTGCTGTTCTATCTGACTCGAAAAGACCAGAGACCTTTATCGTAGTTTTACCAATAATATACCTTACTAAGGTACTGTGTACTTTTCTGTTCTCCAAACAGAATAGGGAATCGTCTGACTGGCACTCAAGGAGCTCGTGGACCTCTTTCAAGAGCACACATCTCTCCTGCCCAACCAGTGGTGGCCAGGAGTAGAGCTCGGGGAAAGTTCATTTAGAACAAGGGACAAATCTTCCCAAAACTGTGTGTAGGGCAGGGAGACTAGAAAATGGGTGTGGTATGAATGAACAAATGTGTCTACTATAGTCGTTATCTTTTATGCCACCTAAATGAAGACCTATAATCTGATAACAAGGCCGAAAGCAGAGAATACTAGAAAAATGTTAACGTGTTTCATTGACTGTAGAAAGACATTGAACCCTGTGGATCCTAACCAACTATGGATAACATTGTGAAGAGTGGGCATTTCAGAACACTCTATTGTGCACATGCAGAAAATGAACATAAAGCAGGAGGCACTCATTCAAACAGAGCCAGAGGACACTGTGTGGTTTAAAAGCAGAACATGTTCACATCAAGGTTGTGTTCACTCATCGTGCTTATTTCATTTGTATGTTGAGCAATCACTTGAGAATTGGACCTGCAGTCAATCGTCATAGAAATAGCAGTCAAGAAATCAAATGACGTATTGAATTGGGAACATTTTTCTATTAAAAAAATCCAACTCATTGAAGTATTAAAAGCAAAGATATTCCCTTAAAGATGAAGGTACACCTGATCAAACGCATGCTGTTTTCTGTAACCTCATATGCTTGTGAAACTTGGACAATGAATAAGGAAGACCAAAGAAGAATTGATGCATTTGAAATATGATGTTGACAAAGCATATTGAATATGCCATTGGACTTCTAGAAGAATGAGCAAATGTGTCTTGGAAGAAGCAAAGCCAGAATGCTGCTTGAACGCAAAGGTGTCATCCTCACATACATTGGACATGTTTTCAGGAGAAAGACATCATGCCCGGTAAACTAAAGATCCAGTGAAACAGAAAGCTCATCAGCGAGAGGAAACTGGCTGCAACCCTGGACTCAAACTTGGCAAAGATTGTGAAATTGCTGCAGGGCCAGACAATGTTTCACTGGGGTCTACATTGAATCTCTATGACTTGGAATCCACTGGGCAGTACCTAACAATAGCTACAACATCTCAATCCTAAATTTTAAAAGTAAATGGACACCTTTTTCCTCCTCAGGAACAAGCTGACGCCCTTAATATTTTCAGGAAATCAGGCTGATTCTCTTTACTTCAGCACGTATGCTTAAAGCATGTATAATTTAATCCTCTTTGGGGTAGGAAAGAGATTGGACATAACATATCAGGGACACTCTGAAGTATATTGGGCTATATAATCAGGGCATAACCATTCATCATATCACCTTAAAGAAACTTGGAATATATTCGATGGTGAAAGAAAATGTTAGTATAAATTTACAAACTACCAAACAGCATCTGTTGCCTTCTTCATGATGATTAAAACATGCTCACAGGGAAAATTGTGGTGTGTCTGTTAAGTCAAACACTAATGAAACATTTGCTAAAATAATCTCTTTAATTTGGATAACATTTGGCAATAAAGTGCACTCATTGGATCATTTGCTTGTGTTGTGATCCTGCAGAGTTAACTGGGCACAACTAAGTCTAATATGGTAATGGGCTTTTTGCTAAAACCTGGGCATATGCATTTCTCATGCTCAGTTGTTTTCTGCTCTGGTGAATAGAGATAAGAAATGTTATTGTGAAGACATTAAAGATTTCTCATTGGCGTATCTGAATACCAAGAGCCTGAACAGACTCATTTAGTCGTGTCCTAATTCTGTATACCTTATGGATCAAAGACACCAGCACCTATAAATTTCAGGCAAGTAGGAAGGATTAGTGATATTAATCAAGTCATC